ACATGTTGCAGAAGCAAAAAAAGAATGACTCACGGGCGAGAATGACAAACCCAACTCTGGGCAAGTTAACCTCTGAAAAAGAAAAAGAAATGAGAGAGGATGGGGAGGGAATGGTCTTTAGTTGTCTCTAAAGTATTTTACTGCCTTTAATTTTTTAAAGAAAAACTAGGCTACTTTTTAAGAAAAGAAATTGCAAAAGTAAAATTTTTGCTTATTTACAGGTAAAGATCAAAGACTTCCTTAATATTTAATTGTAAAATTCTTCACGGTCACTCATTCTCCATTACCAACACCAACAAAGGCTAGAGCCATTTGTGCTAGTGCCATTCGCAAAAGATCCTGATAGATGCTACCATATCAACAAGAAAATCCCAGAAAGTCTTGCCAGGATTGTAATGTTTGCATTAATGATTTGGATACACTTTTTAAATGCACAAATTCCAGTTCCAAACACAACTAAAAGCCAGGCAGTCTATGACCAATTGGCAAGCAGGCTGGCAAAGACTCACTTCAGTCTATAAGGTAGGAGAATGAAAATGCATGAACTCTATACCTAAACATCAGAGCACACATTTTAAAATGCAATAAAAAAAATCCAGACCAAAAATATCCTTTCACAAGGACACAGAAATAAGAGGGATATAAAGCAATATTAATGTCAATAAGTACTAATTAGTCTATCAAGACAAATATTCCCACTAAACTAAAGTTATGCAATGAGTATGTTTATAAGTACACAGTCAGTTTTAAATTCCTCAAAGCCAGGCACGGTGGCTCATACCTATAACACTACAGCTTTGTAAGGCCAAGGTGGGAGGATCCCCTGAGGCCAGGAGTTGGAGACCAGCCTGAGCAATATAGCAAGACTCTATCTCTACAAAAAGTAAAAATAAATAAGCCAGGTGTGGTGGCATATGCCTGTAGTCCTAGCTACTATGGAGGCTGAGGCGAGAAGATCACTTGAATCTAGGAATTCAAGGCTGCAGTGAACTATGATCACACCACTGTACTCCAGTCTGGGCGACAAAGTGAGACCCTGTTTCTAAAAGAAAAAAAATTTCTCAAAAAAACAACAAATTCAAAAAGGCAAAATTATATATCAAAATCATTTCCAATTCCCTTTAGATTAGCTTCTGATAATGTGACTGAGGAAGTCATGTGTCGTGTATCCGTGGCCAGAAATCAGAATTTAGCTACTTGATAGAATTAACTTGCTATGATAAATTAAATTACTGTTACCACCAATATAACTAATGTTTAAAAAATCATCACTATTTTAAACACTAGAGTATTAGCTTTGGGCCAGTTTTAGCTTTTCTTTAATAGTTTCAAAACTAATAAAAGTCCAAAAATGTGAACAGATTTAACCCATTAAATTACCTTCACTATTGTTCACAGAATAAAATCCTTAATTGATTAATGATCTCAGGGTGTCTATCGCCATCTAGTGAACAATCACTTCAATTACCACATCAGACATTTGACAACTGATACCCCTTTTCTTCATGGTTTAAAAATATATGTCCATTCAGTGACATATGCTTGCACAATTTCTTTTTTTATGCCTCTCTAAACATGCATTGAGAACTAACACAAATACAGATGGTATTTGTATAGATTCACGGAGTACTTCTCTGAAACACTGACTTCATTACTTTTAAATAACTTGCACACTGTGAGATCACTCATACAATTCCTTACCTATTAGCTCATTCCTCTATCACCAAGAAATTTAAGATCATGGAAGAGTTTAAGTGTGAAAGATCACACCTGTGAAAAGACAATATTGATGCCCATTTGACAGAACTATTAGCACTTTTATTACAAACCTGTTTTTAAAAGTACAATTAGTAATTACTCTGAGTATTCTAGGAGCCATAATACATTTGATTACAGAATTTATTAGGTCACTAGAGTCAAACCTGCACGATTCCAACAAAACAAACACAAAATATACTTAAAAATAAAAAGGAAAAGGGGACTTCAAGGCCTCCCTAGGCTGTGATTTAATCCATATCCAAATATAAAATTTTATAACCTTTTGTAATGGCATGCTACCAGGTTTCCTTCTCATTAATTTCCACTTGAACCTTAATCTAATTTATCCCATAAGGATAAAAGCAAAGAACTTGTAAGATCGGCAGGTTACTATATCATCTGGCTCACTCTATATCTTGTCACAAAAAAATACTAGTTTAATAAGTTACAAAGGGATTCCAAAATCTCAGCAAACCGGCTCTCATTTTCACTTCTCTGCTCCTACCTCTTTAATAATTATGAGATGCTTGAAAAATCACAAAGACTCAATAGTATATACAGGAAAAACCAGCAAACCCAAAGAAAGATTATCCCATAGGCTACTTCCACCCACCAGTGCTAACGATTATCACTAATACTTTAACAATCATTTTTATTTTAGGAATTAATATTTGTAAGTGACTTTGGATCTTCTCCTAGAATAAGATTTCCTGGGAGAAACTGTGTAATTATTATTTCTCAGTAGCCTCATATTACTTTAAAGGTCTATTTTCCAGAGTTTTATCTATCTTATTTGAGGGAAAGAGCAAAGCATAAAGAGAAAAGAGGAAAGCAGAAAGCAAGAATTTAAATCACATACAAGTAGTTCTAGATTTGTCTGAAATTCTTTGTTTTTTAATGGAGAGAACAGGGGGTTTTTATAGTTCATTTATTAAAGATTTGTTATTGTTATATTTTATATAACAGAAAAATAAAAATTGTGTTTAAACTCCCCATTAAAAATCCAGCTAAAGAAAACCATTGCCCTTAAAATGCAATGGATTAGGAGACTGGGGGAGATCACTGGACAAATTTGGGGCTTATCATTATCAACAGTGCCCTTTTAAGCTTGTGGATTTCTGAGCCAATGCAGAAAACATAACAACAGGGATTTCCCAACAGCAAGAGGCACTCTCCAAGGGAGTAAATTGTCAACTATTGCCTCTCGTGAGAAACTTAAGAGTAACCTTGATCCAATCTCAATAGTCAACCCATGTATTATCACCCAGTTGGGGCATCGTGAGTGCATTTACTAATACAAAAATAAGATGGTATTCCATCAGAAGCCACTGGATACATGTGAAGAAATAAAATTTAAATAATTTTGAAGTAAACTTAGCCTAAGAAACTAAAAACATCCTTCCCTTCCCTCACTTCAACTAGCCCTGATCGTGATCGCCCTGAAATAAGAGGTAGAATATAAAGCAAAACCACAGTCATACAAGACATCTTGAGATGGAAGAGACAACCCTACTATACTAAAAGGATTTACATTCAAAATAGTCACTTGTTATATTTTATCTGAGTTTTAACTTCCTCATCTATAAAATGAGAACATTATTATCTATTTCAAAGGATTCTTGTGTAATTTAGTGAAATAATGCATAAGAAAGCTTCTATCACATCACTCGTGTTCAATACATGTTTTGCCCTTCCTCCCTGTGCCCTAAGTCAAATCTTTGAGATAGGGCTGCCAACAGAAGAGTGATTCTTAACATCTTAACATTTCTTTCATACACCAGCTGTATCTGCACGGTCCAATACAGTTGCCACTAGCCACATTTGTCTATTTAAGTTTAAATTCATTTTCATTATAATTAAAGCAATCTAAAAATCCAGTTCCTCAGCTAGTTGGCACTAGACAGATACCAAGAGCTCAATGGCCACTTGCGGCTAGAGACTACTGCTCTGGATAGTGCAGATGAAGAACATTTTCATCATAATAAAGTTCTACTGGACAAAGCTGGTCTAAACTCTAAAGCAGGGGTCAGCAAACTTCTTTTTTTTCTAAAAAAGGCCAGAGAGTAAATATATCAAGCATTGCAGGCCGTGCGAGCCACCATCTTGACTACTCAGCTCTACTCTCATAACACAAAAGCAGCCACAGATTATACACAAATAAATGAGCTTGGCCCTGTTCCAATAAAACCTTATTTGCAAAAATAGATGGCAGGTTGCATTTGGCCTAATGGCCATCATTCGCCAACCCCTGCTCTAGAGCAGAGTCCAGACCCCCAATACAAGCATTTTTCCCATGACCACTGCTTACTTCCATTAAGTCTTAACTTTAAATAGTCTTAAACTCACAGACATGGAGATAAATGAAATTTAGTAATCAGCATAACTATTCGTTTACAAATTAAGAAAAACCCACGCACATAGTATTCAAACAGTTGAAGCTTACAGTGTTCATAAAGTGACAGTACCTAAATTCTATTTGGTATCTGGCCCATCTTACTAAAGCCAGTAACTCACAATCTATTACTCTAGTCTTGACATATTCTTGGAATTCTGGATTTATACATCCAATGGCCTACTTATTATGCCTGGAGACCTATTACTCAGGCCAAAGGCAACACATCCACAACAGAATTCTTAATCCTTCTTTCCTAGTTTCCTCCATCTTAGTGAAAGGCTCTACTAGCTATCCATCTGATTTCTACCTTTCACTCACACTCCAAGCTAATCCATCAGCAAAAAAAAAAAAATAGCTCTCTTATGTCACTTAGGTCTCATTCACGTCACCTCTTCAAAGAAGCCTTCCCTGACCAATATAAACTAGCCATCTAAACATTCTCTAGCCCACCACCCTGTTTTAATTATCTGCAGAACATTTGCTTCTATCATATTTTCTGTTATTTGTTATACACGTTTATTTACTTATTTATAGTCTGCTTTCCCAAACCACCCTCTCTCCACCCCACATTCCTAACTCATGTCGTCTCCACCCCCAATCTCCTCCCAATCTGGGTAGAAAGTAAGCCTCATGATAACAGGGACCTTTTATGTCTTGCCTGATACACACACACACACAAACGAATCCTTATTTAAATGCCTATTTGTCTCAAACCTGTCATCTAAAGAGAGGGGTACTGTCTTTGATGCTGTATAACTAGGTAATAAACTTGACTCTCCCACACTATAACAGGTATAGTTAAAAATACTCTCATATCTAGAGATGTAAATGTTATTATGCCATTTACCTCCCTTCCTTTGTATGTCACCAAGGCAGCCAGTGGTTTGGCATAAAATCTGCTATAGGAAAATCCCAGGCAACCGTACATACTGTTCGCTGTGAGCTTCAAAGCCTTCTGTCGAATGTCATACTGCAGGCCACACAGAACAAAAGACAAACAACAATATTTACAGATGCTTAAGTATTACATTAGATGTCTTTCTAGATCTCCAATAAAAAGGGAAATCCTCAATATCCCTGAATAAAAAAGAACTAACACTCAACCCATCCACCTGGATCAATGATTCCTTAACCTCCTAGAAGCAAGTAAACACAGAATCCAAAGCTCCCAGGAGCCAGAAGTATCTTGCTCAGATACAACCTTTGCAGACAAAGGTGGCTTCCATTCTGAGGCACTCTAGTATTTTTAAGTGGTCACCTACCCACAAACTCAAAATAAGTACCTGCATTTGACCAGCATCCTGTTTACTCCTAAATAATCAAATTCTAAAAGCTGAGACTGCCACTCAAATGTTTCTTAGTAAAAAGGTATAGATATACCTGAAGCATAAGGTCTGGATTTAAGTCCTGCAGTTTCATTAGCTGTTTGACTTGTTTTCTCCGTTCTACCAGTTTCCGGATCTCTCTGGGCAAAATGCCCATTTCTAAGTTTGGATCTGGTAACTCAGGGATCTGTTCTTGTTCTCCATCCTGATAAACACACAACAGAAATTTCATACAAATCAAACTTTTGTGAAATAAATTTCTACAGTAATATTTTATAGGTGCATTCCCCCATGATCACATCTTGAAAAGCTATTTTCTTATATAAGTAAAGGTCAACAATGCATGGGTAGTATAAGAAGGAGCTGAGAGGTTTGTAGAACAGGTCACCATTGCCCTCATCTCTCCCAATTATATTAGTCTGTCATTCCCAATATCTCCCACCCCTGTAGTTAGACGCATATTTAGATTTCATTTAAAGGGATATATTTTTACACATGCTACTACTAACTCTCTTCAACAAGACTGGAGAACAACATGTTTGAGGAAATTGTTTTTAAAATATAAACACTAAAAGAGATCTCCAGGATTTAAAAAAAAAAAAAACAGCAGCTAAACTACTATTTTAAATCATTTTTACTACCAAACAAAATGCTATAGAATTGTAAAAACTATAGAGAATAACAGCAATTATTGTAAATGCTCTAGACTAAAAATAAAAAGCCAAATACTAAATCAGCAAATTTCTTTTAGCGTTCGGAGCACATTTAAATAGGCCATGACATTTCTAAAAACTAACACATATATATCCCTTAACATTTATGCAGTACTTTTTACCTACAAATTGCCATGCAATCGGCAAAAGAATAGCAACCAACAGTCTTCTTATATTAAAATTTACAGCAGGAGAAAGCAGGGAAAGCATTAGACCATTTTTCTCAAGCCTCCATTAATTCTATTAACAGGCTACAAAGAAAAAAGCCAGGCACATTTGCCCCTTTAAAGGTTCAGAATTAAAAATAAACCTCTTGGTTTAAAGTATGCCATTTGATAACCTAGACTTTACAAAGCATCTGATTTTACAGAGATCAATATCTTCAAGTAAAACGCTCTTACAATCGTAATAGGGACCTATTGCTTTCCAAAATAACAGATAATAGTAAACCTATTAAAGAGATCCTTGTACACGTTATTTATAGCAACTATGAAAGTCAGATAAGAAGTAAACTTGAAAGAACATAGAGTCAGGAAATTTACAATCTACTCCTAGCTCTGTAACTACTACCTGTGTGACACTGTTCTGAGGTACCATGCATAAAAATGATACAGGATCCATAAACTGCTACATGTATAATATTTCTTAGATGACTTTTGAGGTCCCTTCCAACTCTAAAATGATTCTATTATATATCCAGAATCCAAGCTGGAAAACTCCAATAAGCAAAATGGTGGTGGGCAGAGGCTAAATAATATTAACCATCACCATGCTGGCACAGTAGCAGGACAGAGCTCAAATATTCATTAAATGCAGTCATATCTGTTGGGGATATCTACCCAGTACCTTCTCTGTAACGGTCTCCACTAGTCTCACAGAAAGGCCCACCCTTAGCAGCCAGATTTGTACCCTGTAAACCTACTCTTGTGGTTACAGTTAAAGGGGATCTGGGGTGCTCACCAACCTAGGCAAACCTATCCAATTCTCTCTTCTGGGAATATGAAATTGGGATTGAAAAACAGGTCCCAAGCTTGTGGTGAGATTTAAAAGACATACAAATTCAGGAGCTAGAGGGCAAATAGACATCTTCTGCCATGTATTTAAAAAAAAAAAAAGATTACAAAAAAGAACAAAATGTGTGTGTGGGGGGGGTGAATACACCTATACATAGACCACACATGCATATAAAATGGAATATTATTCAGCAATACAAAGGAATGAAGTATTAGTACATTCTACAACATGGATGAACCTTGAAAACATTATGCTAAGTGAAATAAGCCAGATACCAAAAGGCTATATACTGTGTGATTCTACTTATATAAGATGTCCGGAATATACAAATCTATAAAAGCAAAAAGATTAGCAGTTGCCTAGAGGTAGAAGGAATATATGGATTGAGGAGGGGGTGACAGCTAAAAGGTTTCTTTGGGAAATAATGAAAATATCCTAAAACCGACTGTGACGATGGTTGCAAACTCTGGGAATACACTAAAAGCCACTGAACCACACACTTTAAACAGGTGAATTATATGGTATATGAAGAATACCACAATAAAGCTACTTTTAAAAGACACAGAACCAGTCTGAGTCTCTTTCTACCCAACCCTTCTCCTTTTTAACCACTAAGAAAGGATATTATTAATGTATCCTTTAGGAGGAAAGGCCAGGCACAGTGGCTCACGCCTGTAATCCCAGCACTTCCGTAGGCTGAGGCAGGTGGACTGCCTGAACCCAGGAGCTCAAGAGCAACCTGGGCAACATAGCAAAACCCAGCCTCTACCAAAAAAAAAAAAAAGAAAAGAAAACTAAAATGCTAACCCCTTTGGTTCCCTTCCTTAAGTAATTCTTTTAACCTCGATTTCAAGGGCCCTAGATTAAGTACAAACCTCTGTAATTTTCTGTGCCTCTGCAGCAACTCTTTGTACTGTTGTAAAACAAATGTTAAATTCCTGAATGATGGAAGGATAAAGACTATTGAAGTCCAGAAGCAAAATGAACTTATCGTAAAAACCTGAAATTAAAAAGCCACATAACATCATGAAAAGTCTAAAGAAAAGCACAACTGTCAAAACATCATTATCAAAAGCACTCTACGTATATTAGAAACTATATACTATGCATATATACTATCCAAAGCTGAAAGACAAAGGAAAAAAAAAATCAACTCCCATTCCATAAAATGATGTAAATTAGTGAAAAGCCAGATCACAAAATAAAAGGGAGAAAAACATCCTCTCTCTACAGAACCAGCCACAACCAGTCCTTTCCCCAGATGTCCCCAAAGCACACCACTATTACAAGCAAACACCGTCCCAGTTATGAGAGGTGTCACATCCATTTCAAAGAAAATGTTAAACTTTCCTTCAAAGGAAGAGTTCCCTTCCACCTACCTTCCCCCTCCCCACCCCAAATAAAACCAAGTGAGTGGTTTTCTTTTTTATTTTTATTTATTTATTTTTTTGAGATGGAGTCTCGCTTTATCGCCAGGCTGCAGTGCAGTGGCATGATCTCGGCTCATTGCAACCTTCGTCTCCAGGGTTCAAGAGATACCCCTGCCTCAGCCTCCCAAGTAGCTGGGACTACAGGTGCATGCCACCACACCTGGCTAATTTTTTTGTATTTTAGTAGAGACAGGATTTCACCATGTTGGCCAGGATGGTCTCGATCTCCTGACCTCATGATCCTCCTGCTCGGCCTCCCAAAGTGCTGGGATTACAGGCGTGAGCCACTGCACCCAGCCGAGTGGTTTATTTTTTAATGACACTTTCAAAAAATAAAATGGACAGCACATTTACCTGTACATAAACCAAGCTAAAATCAAATAAGAGACACACATATATAAATGTCAGTAGTGGAACGATCCACCCTTTTTACTTGCAAAGGATGAACAGAAAGCTACTATATTTCTCTAGGACATTTACAAAGAGTTATCTTCACCTTGAGAAGAAACGGAATAAAAATAAATGTCCACTATTAAGACAGTAATAATTGCAAACATATATTGATAGTTTATTCTGTGTCCAGCACTATACTAATTTATCCTTAAATCCCTGTGTGGTAGATATTACTCTTATCACTATTTTACAGAAGCTGAGTCTTACAGAGGTTAAATAGGCAGCCCAAGATCACATTGAATTCAAACCTAAACCTATATAACACCAAGTACTACTGCTCCATTTCATTATAATAAAATCACTTTTGTCAAAAATGTCTTCTACTCAGAGTTAACTTATTTGATAAAATTCATATTAATTCCTTCACAACGATGTGAATATTCTTAACACTACATTTGGTTGAAATGGTTTATTTAATACAAAAAAAATAGCTGGCTATGGTGGCGCCCAACTGGAGTCCCATCTACTGGGGGACTGAGGCAGGAGGATCGCTTGAACCCAGGACGTGGAAGCTGCAGTGAGCAGAGATTGTGCCACTGCACTCCAACCCAGGCAACAGAGCAACACTCTGTCTCCAAAAAAAAAAACAAAGAAAAGAAAAAGAAAAACAAAAAGTTTTTTTTAAAAAAAAGATTATTTCTAGCTCTGTGTACCACAAAACATCTTTGCCATTCATGACAATAGGGAAAAGGTATTCTCCTGTTAAAGTTAAATTTGGTGGTTACTGTCTGCACTGTCTTTAACTTTGCTGTCCACTGAACTGGTCAAGAAAAACAGCTATATATGTACTAAACAGCTAGCTATCTATGTATTGGACAAACTATGTTTACAGACCAAATCCAACCTACTGCTTGTTTTTGTACCACCCATGAGCTTAAGTATGGTTTTTATATTTTTTAATGGTTGGAAAAAATTAAAAACAGTATTTCACGACATATGAAAACTACATGAAATTTAAATTTCAATGTCTATAAATAATTTATTGAAACACAGCATAACAACGTTCACCTTAAGTCTATGTCAGGTGACTGGCAACCCAGATTTTCACATGAACGAAAGACAAAAAGTAAGGCCTTCATAAGACTTATTTGCTGACCTGTAAGATATAATTCAGGTCTTCCAGTTTCTCAAGCCTAGCTCCACATTAAGAAATCCCTTAATACTGGGAGAAAACCAATTCACTGCCCAGCCTTACCAACTTTGGGGTCCAAAACCAAGCCTCCAGCATAAGCTGCTTTCTTACGTCCTTTCTTGTATTTATTGGTATCTCCATCAATTTCTTCATCTTCATCTCCCTAATATCAAATGGAAAGACAACTTCACCAGCCAGCAACTAATTAAGTTAAAATTGTTATGACTCTCTCTTTTCCAATCGCAGGACTTAGTTCTAACAGACATTATTTCAGTTAGTGGTCCTATCTGTGGGGAAAGACAGTTATTGCAATATGTTCATGAATCCAAATGAATGCCAAGCATAGTAATTTCTTAAAGAAATACTATATCTCTGAGTTAAGAAATACAAAACTTCTACTTTTATGTACTTCTGAATTTATAGAATTTCACTTTTCTATTCAATGAATATTGAAAATACCACTTTTCATATGATATAATATTTGAGATTGTAAAACAACCCTCTTACAATCACTACTCTAACATTCATGATGTAAAAACATAAAATATTTCATGTAGGTATTATCATTATCCCTATTATTAATATGGACAACATAAAATAAGCACATCTATATACTGAAAATCCATTCCTAAGTAGTTTATTATTGGCCAACATAAAATACTTTAGCAGAAGTTAAAGTCCTCTAAATGAATATTCCCTGTACCAATTTTAATAATGTACATTAAAAACAAGCAAATATGAGAACCTGAATCAAATTTTAACATTCAATTCCCAGCCGGGTGCGGTGGCTCACACCTGTAATCCCAGCACTTTGGGAGGCTGAGGCGGGTGGATCACGACGTCAAGAGATCGAGGCCATCCTGGTCAATATGGTGAAACCCCATCTCTACTAAAAATACAAAAAATTAGCTGGGCATGGTGGCGCTTGCCTGTAATCCCAGCTATTCAGGAGGCTGAGGCAGGAGAATTGCCTGAACCCAGAAGGCGGAGGTTGTGGTGAGCCGAGATCGCGCCATTGCACTCCAGCCTGGGTAACAAGAGCGAAACTCCGTCTCAAAAAAAAAACAAAACAAACAACAACAAAAAAACATTCAATTCCCATTTCTGCATCAATTCATATCAGTGCTAATAAAACAGTAGCTAAACTAAGTTTTAGTTCTAAAGTGATGGAGGCTATTTCAGAAACCTAATTGTGGGTGACCTTGATCATACTAGTATAGAAAAATGCAACACAATAATAAAGGCTCATAGGTTCAAGAAAATAAAAGGTTTAACTGGCATTTAACTTTGGGTAGGGCTAAGGTGCCAAAACACATTCCATGTATGGTCACCCATCAGAGAGGTCTAATGCTTCCCTCAGAGAATTTCATGTTTCACAAATTTTGTCTGCAAAGAGAAAAGTGGATAAGGAAATGACACAAATACAAGGGAATAAACTTGACACGGTTTCTACAGTACACAAGGGATTTGCTATTTTGAAAGCAGATGTCATCACAGAAAAAAAGGCTATCTAGGTAATAAAAAGTAAGGGATAAGAGGAAACAAAATACTACACAGCTTTGGACCCACCAGTTTTTGCTGAGGCTTTCGGAAAATCTGCTTGTCAGGCACAATATAGTTGTTTTCATAAAATGCATGAAGCAACAAGAACTCGTTACGCTCGGATCGTCCACCCATCAGTGTCCTGGACTATTAAATGGAATCTCTTTTTAAAATTTGAGCTCAAAACCACAACTAACAAAAGCAACTTTGAGTCAGTTAAGTTTAGTCACATCACCTCCTTCAAAACCATTCCTAACAACAGGCTGCTTTAAAAAAAAAAAAAAGTACTAAATTATTCCTAACATTTTCATTGAGCATTACAGTTAAAGGAGACAAAGAGAGCTTAAAATATTGACAACTTGGCTATTTACTCCCAAATGGACCATTCCACCAAACAGACACATCCAGATGTTAGAGAGATGATCCTTATGTTCGTCCAAATTTCAACACACTGCACCTGGCATTCCTCCCCTTCTCCCAACCAGTTCTTCCTTTACAAAAGAAGTCCAGCTCTCAGAATCCAAGTTACTCATTTTATAAGCATGCATTTAGACTCATTATCATATAACAACTACCCCAAGCAAACACTGAATCCAACAGGAAATGCTTTTTCCCCCTTTCTAAGTTAAATTTACCATAATGTTCCCAGCGATGTTAGTGATCTGCAATGCTAATGGAAGAACATTCAGCTCACACATGATCTGCAAAATGAAGTTGGCATCTTTCCAGGTGTGTTCCAACAGGTATAACAGTTGGGAAGAGTCACTGTACAGAAAAGTAAGAATGAAACAGAATCAAATAATTAAAAGAAACAATGCCCATAATCATAACTTCATAAACTATTACAAGGAATTTTGGGTGTAAGTAAATTCAGAGCAACAGCATCTTGGCTTCAGAAACAAATTAAGGTCAGTATGTAACTAGGAATTCATTCATACCATTGATCCCAAAGCCTTTCTCACACACACACACACACTCACACACACACACACACAATCCCATAAAGAAAAACTGAAGTAATATAATAACTACAAGCCTGAAAACTATCTAAATCCTTTCATTCATTCCATCCAGTGAGTATATATTGCATGCTTACTATGTGCCAGGAGTTGGCTGTGACCAAAACAAACAAAACTTCCTATCCTCCTGGAGCTTATGTCCTCATGGGGGAGACAGAGTATAAAAAAGAAAAAGAAATTATGTATATAGTATGTTACATAACTTTAAAAGTTAAGCAATGGGAATATTAAGTATCGGAAGCAGAGACCGAAATTTTTATTAGGAAACAGTGGAAGATTTCACTGAGAATAAACATCTGGAAGAGGTAAGGGAACAAGCCTTATGGAAAGAGCACTCCACGCAGACAGGACAGCACACTCAAAAGCCCTGAGCTGCATGCAAATCTGGCAGTTCCAGGACTAGGAAAGAGGCCATATGACTGGGTCAGAGAGAATAATGGAAAGAGTAGCAGGAGATAAGGACAGAGTTAATGGCATAGAGACACACTGTATGGAGCTTATAAGTAAAAACAAGAACTTCACTTCTTACTCTGAATGAAACAAAGAGTCACTGGAAGATTCTGGACACATCTGACTTGATTTTAGCATAACTCTGGTTCTGGATTGAGAACCGATTATAAAGGGGTAAGGGCAAAAGGAAGGGGACAGGCATATAAACCCAGTAATCCAGGGGAAAAAGGATAGTGGCTTGGACAGGATGGGTTCAACAGAATCGGAAAGAAGTGGTCAGACTTCGAGATATTTAGAAGATAAAACTGACAGGATTCCCTCATACATCTACTATGGGATATGAGAGAGAGGAACCAAAGGTGCCACAGAGATTTTGGGCTAAGTAAAACTCTGAAGTGTCCAGTGATAACAGAAAAATACGCTTACTAATTTAGTAAGGAAAGACTACAGGAAGAACCTAGGATAGAAGATTAGAGCTCAGTTTTGAACAAGCTGGGAGTTCACATTAGGTATCAAGTAAAATAGGTAAGTAGATACATTGATTCTAGAATTTAGGGAGGTCTAACCTGAAGATACACAGGTGGGAGGCATAGGCATCCACATGATATTTAAATTCCTAAGACTCCCTATGATCACCCAGAGAGGAAGCAAAGTCAGAAAAGAAGTCAAAGGAAGGACTCAGAAAGAACTAGCAGGAACAAACGAATGAGAGATGACCAGAGGAGTAGGAGGAAGAAATAAGCAAGTGATACCTCTAAATAACTTAATGATTGCTCAGTTTTTACATTTCCAAAGTATCTACCCTAATTCCTGAATAAACGAATTAAGAGTAGAAATCTAAATCCAAACTACTGTTAGGAAACATTAAGAAAGTGTTAACACAGGTGAGGGAGATAGAGATAAACTGATCAATTACAGTAATTCAAGAGCTAAACTAGTTCAAATTATGAAAGCAGTGGAGATGGTAGCACTGACAAAGACAATTTCCCCTCTACAGCACCACTGGCTCATGCCTCTCCAGACTAAGAATAGTACTGGTGTTCTGCTATTGTTAATTTCAAGACAGATGAATTCTGAAGAATCTAGGATCATACCTGTACATATTTCGTATATTTTCCATTGGGATTATAGCCCTTTCCTTTTTTAGAATCTGCTGAACAAGTTCGGACAGATGGTAGCTTTTACAACGAATCAATTCCCTTGCTGAAATTTCCACATCACAGATCATTCGACCACAGGTAGCATTTCTTTCACCAAATCCACTCCGGCCCTATGAGATGGAAACAAAAAGCAAATTTCATGAAAGAGCAGACACTGACAACATTTCTTTCTAACCTATTTTAAAGCTGACCCAAAATTATGATAAAACTTTCATTCTCCCATTTATCAATCAAATATTTTTGAACATTTACTATATATCTGACATTATTCTAGGCACTCAGGATACAGCAGTGATCAAAACAGAAAAGACTCCTAGCCTCGTTTGAAATGTATAATAAAAAATAGATACCATAAACAAGAAATTATATCATTTTAGGAGGTAACAAGTATATGGAAAATGGGAAAATAGAGCAGGGTAGGGGCATAAGGAATTTGGGGAGACTGCATCTTAAATAGGGTAATGGGGCAGACCTCACTGAGAAGATGCCATATAAAGAAAATCTTAAAGGGTATAAAAAGCTAAGCAAGTATTCATATGAAGTACTAATAACAACTCTACCACATTAAAGATAGGAATCGGAAAAGAAGCAAGATCAGTGGCCCCAACTTTGATCTGTAGTGGCAGAATCCTCTAGAGAACATTAAAAAAAAGATACAGATTCCTAACTTATCTGATGAGGCAACATGTCCATTTTACTTATAAGCTTTAAGTAAAATAAGATTTCAAGCACTGAGCAGTATCAGGTTTAGGAAGAAGGTGCTTCATACAAAAACTGCCAAAACTTCCATACATAAAGCAAGCAGGTAGAATGAAAAGTACACGTTGGCTTTAAGAGTCACACAGGCCTGGGTTAAAATCTCAGTTCTTCCCCTTGCTAGTTACATGATCCGGAACGAGTGATGTTACCCCTATGAGACTGTCTATAAAATAAAACTGGAGTTGCCACGAGAGGTAACTAACACAGAGAGCACTTAGTTTATTGCCTTCTTGCTTTTTCTGTCTTCTTTTTATTACAAGGTATCATCCAGCAATATTGCATTCTTATACAACCAACATCAACTCCCTTCCATTCATTCTTCCCATCTTCTTCCTAAATGATAACCCTCAACATTTTCTGAACCATGCAACCTTGCCCTAAGGTTATCCCTTCAGGAATGACAAAGTGAAAGTAACATGTATGTGCTGTCTTTGTTGACTATTCCTTGATTCTAACCGATGATTTTTAAAACTACCAGAGGCTTTTATAAATAAAATGCTGAATTCAAAGGAAAAGATGTTTAGTGCCAAAGTTAAAATGTACCAAAGTTCCTATCACAAGATAACTAATTCCTATTTTAAAAAGTATAGTGTGTTCCCTGGTAGCTACCCCACATTATAAAATAAATAAATAAAAAAGATTTTAAAAATTATTATTACCCCAAGCTTTGGCATGTTGGATCGCTTCAGTCGACCTATCTTGGACCAGTGAGGAGCTTTGCACACATTAATTCTCTGCAGTAGTACTTCCAGTTCAAACCCATAAATATTATGACCCTAGTTAGAAAAAGAAGGCAGCTGATAACGTTATAACAAATGCAAATTAGAGGATTTATCTTCATACGCACAGAATTTCTTTGCCCTTTCTTTTTCTGGTCTCTAATTGAAGACATCATGCACTTACCTCCGATTGGGGGTCCTTTCTTCTTCAGGAATTTACTCATCAGCAGCATTCATTAGCCTTGACATTAACAAGGCTGCTAAGCAGATTGCTGGAATAAACTTTATTTCATCCTAATTGATGCAAGGCTCATATGATGTCTTTTAATTTGCAGCTCATGCCTCAGTCTCAGAGGCAAATGCAAATTTAATGTCCCATACTTTTTATGTGATCAGTAAAAGCTAAATTCAAATAATTCCATATTCCTTCCTTAAAAACATAGAGCCTGCCTGTGCTGTGTATCAGTTTACATAAGACTTCTTCAAAAACTCAGGAACTGCCTTTAGTTTCTTTTTTAAAAATTGAGTTCAAACACTAATGATTTAGACCCATAACTGATATGCAAAAAGAGAAATATATAATACCATTAAATAGCGCAAATAAGAAACTTGTTAAAAACAAAGAAACAAAACTACAGAGTAGAAATTATCTCAAATATGCAACTAGATTTTTCACTTCCATAATAATTTCCAACATGTGAACATGATTCACTTGCCTCTGTTCATCAAAAATTAGATGAAGTTTAAAACAATTCAGATCAACAAATATACTTGTTATTAAACTTTATTAAAAATATATGCCCACTACTTAGAATAGTCAAAATCATAGAATCAAAAAAGTAGAATGGTGGTTGCCAAGGGCTGGGGGAATGGGAAGTTAATGAGTACAGTGTTTCAGTTTTACAAGATGAAAAGACTTACAGAGATAGACGGTGTGATGCCTGTATAACATTATGAATGTAGTTAATACCACTGAACTGTATACTATAAAATGGTCAACACAGTTAATTTTATGTGTATTTTACCACTAGATATTCACAGCAGTTTTGCCTATTAAATTATAAGACCAAAGGCCTTGAGGAAGTCTCACTTACAAATTATCATACCTAGAATCAGGGACCCAAATTCATGTCAGAATTCCATCTTACATCCAGATTTCTCACACATAGACTTGGCTCTAACACCCAAAGCCAGGCCAGGTTTCCCAGGCTTCATGGCATCTCCTTGGGGTCCAAGATACTGTTGTTATTAGATGCTGACTGGGGGCCTGGTGCTGAGACAGAATGCCACAGTATAACACTGTGAACAGAATCTTCCTGGAACTTTAAAGGTAGGTCTTGAAATATCATAAGGGAAGTGGGTGCAGAGATATTGCTTCCAATCCACAGAAACTCAGGATGCTAGCTAGCTATATAGTCGCCAGATAAGGTATCCAAGAGTAAAAATGAATGTAGAGAAGAATATAGGACACATTTTTGCAAGACTTCAATGTACCCAAATTACTCATATCACATTTAAAATACAGGCATTTATAGCCTACATTCCTCTGGAAAAAAATATATATAATTTGATTGATCCATTAACCCAGAAAAAAGACAAATGAAGGAATCCCATATTCTCCAAATTAGGAAGGTCAGAGGACATATAAAGCAAAATGTTGCTTTAGTACTCTTAGGAACTCGGGCAAAAAATAGCTCAATGAATTATTAGCTCAAGCTGTCTAGCAGGGGCATACTGGGTCATCAACAGATAAAAATATTCCGAGTCCTGAGTTTTCAAAGGTATATGTCATAGAAATTCACTGAGTTCATAAAATTAAAATACTTAGTTTTGTGATTTGCACCAAACCAAGTGTATTAATAAACTCCTGTGACCACTACACAACTGGGCTACTAGAGCAAAATTTTAGCAAACTCAGGTTGTGCACGTTTACTTATATATGTGCTGGTCTCTAAGCATAAATAGCCAGAGAATCCTTAACTTCAACACTAAGTCATGGGTTGCTTTTATATTAGAGGAAAAAAACTACCTTGCAGTGGGCTTGTTATTTTTTTTCTCCTACTTGCAGCAAGTATAGCAATTCCCAAAAGTCCATAGAATCATTTCACTCTGAAAAGATTATTTGCTGCTCAAAAGCACCAATAAAGTCACACTGAAAATAACTAAGAAATGAAGAGCTGCCCCATGACATGATCAAACGTCTACTCACCACAATGATATCAGGATCAATTTTGTGAATGTTCGCAAGGAAAAAACCTAGCAGTGTTCTTTCTGTTGCAGCAACCTCAACCTTCACATTCTGTTAGATAAAAACACACAAGTCACTGACAACTCTTTACTGTCAACAAGTACTGTACCTTGGCTTCTTGTTCAACTACGGTAAGATTTCTTAGGGTTAAAAGAAACCATCCATTTCAAAACTAAATGTAACAATGAAATTCCTGATTCTAGGTTTCATAGTAATAATTACAAAGTCTCTAAGGAGCTCATTCTAGTAATAAACGTGAATAAAGCAAAATTTTAAGTACTGAGCAACATATAATACAGAAATGTCCCTCCACAGGGACATGCTTGTGCATCTGGATACATTTTAGAGCATATGAATCAGAGAACCTATCAAAACTATTACTTTCCTATATAATCCCTAGTAGACTTCACTGTTTATGTATTTACCAGGCAAAGAAATCCCAAGGATTGTATAAACTAATCCCAAATGGTAAGATAAGAACTGACAAATAAAAAACCAGACTAAAAACAAACACATTTAAGAATTATAATTGGCTGAGCACAGTGGCTCATACCTGTAATCCCAGCACTTTGGAAGGCCAAGGTGGGTAGATCATCTGAGGTCAGGAGTTCAACACCAGCCTGACCAACATGGTAAAACCTGACCTCTACTAAAAATACTAAATTAGCTGGGCATGGTGGCACATGCCCGTAATCCCAGCTACTTGGAAGGTTAAGGCAGGAGAATGGCTTGAAAATGGGAGGTGGATGTTGCAGTGAGCAGAGCAAAACTCCATCTCAAAAAAAAAAAAAGAATTATAAGTGTTTTAACTATAAATAAAACCTATCTTCACACAAAAGGCTTCTACTTGGATTACTAAATATAAATCAGGTATTCAAAAGATCCACTCATTAAAAATCTCTAAAAATGGAAGTTGATGGTTATATGTTTTCTACAATTAGGTCAGTTAAAAAATGTCAGTTTGGCCAGGGGTGGTGGCTCAGGCCTGTAATCGCAGCACTTTGGGAGGCCAAAGCGCGTGGATCACTTGAGGTCAGGAGTTCCAGACCAGCCTGGCCAACATGGTGAAACCCCATCTCTACTAAAAAGACAAAAATTAGCCAGGCGTGGTGGTGCAAGCCTGTAATCCCAGCTACTCAGGAGGCTGAGGCATGAGAATCACTTGAAGCAGGAAATGGAGGCTGCGGTGAGCTGACATCATTCCACTGCACTCCAGCCTGGGCAACAGAGTGGGATTCCATCTCAAAAAAAAAGTCAGTTTGACTCTAATGGAATTTTCCTAGGTGATTTTACTTGGTTAGGAAATTCAGGGCACTTTATAAATAATAGCCTAATCTAATAGTACCTCCGACTATTGGACTTCTCAAGCCAATTAAATAAAATAAGTGGAACCTGACAAGGTTACTTACTTTTATCAAGTAAAAACATTAAAAAACAAAACAAACCAAAAAATTTATCAATACCATCACTTCGTAAAAGAAACAACATACTCTCCATAAAAGAAAATTCTTTTTTTTGAATACATTTACCTTTATGAAAAATTCATTGCATTATACTACTTCCCATTCCTCCCCATTTTATTAAGGACCCATGAAAACTTCTTCAGGGAGCACACTGGAATTTAGAGACCACTGATCAGTTTTGGCCAGCCCATGTCAACTTTGCCAACACACAGCCCTTTAACATCCACAGTACTCCCAAATTCACCTGGCTTTCCCCAAGCTGAGGAGGGACTCTACCCAACACCTTCCCAAAATAGTAATCATATGATCATAGGCATTTTAGAAAAGCTTCTAATTAAGCTATCGAAGGGGAATCTGAGCCTATTGATCTACCAATACAGGAAAGAATCCCATTATTTTCACATAGTAAAACATTTAAACATTGTTAATGCTTCTAGGTGTATATGTCTAATACATTTTAATGGGCCGATGTCATAATCCAATCTGGCAGGATTGAACCTAGTAAATTAAAATATAAAACAGCTTCTTTCTACTAGTCCATATCATCCCCCTTTTCTTTCTCTCTCCAAACAAACAGGTGCTTCATATAATGAGCTCTTTGTCTCTTTCTCAATCTCTTCCTTACCTTTTTCTCAATCTCTTCTTTAAAAGCATATGGAAAAATACAGTCCTTTGGTTTAGACACAACTGCAGAAAGGAAAAAATAAAGATTCCAACACCCATCTTAACTCGATTTCAAGTAATCATATAGTACACACTTCCAAATGAAACTCTTATATTCCCCCCATCCCTAAAGAATTCGGAGGATCATCAAATACTTCCACTAGTCATGCTGACAGACCTCAAAAGAATAATCAAGCACAGATCCTTAAGTCTCTGCAGTCATTAAAACTGCTTTGATGAAACATTTGCTATCTATGTGTTCGAGACAGAATAGAAGATTTCAGCAGTCTTCCTCAAAGAATCATCACCACCACCAATGCCCCAAGCTACATACAGTGGAGGAACTCAGTTCAACTTTCTCAAAAAGTAAAGCTGACCAAAGCTTCCCCTATTACACACTGTAAGTTCCTTACCAAACACAACAGCTGTTCACATAGTGACATACATGGAGGAAGTGGATAAATATGTGTTGAAATGAGTTCGTAATTGGTTTCTTCAATGTATTTTTCATGCTATTTCTCATCATCATTTTGTTCCATGTGTCCCACCCACTTAAGGGGGTAAAACTTCACAATAATCATACCTCATACTCCCTTCTCTGCATGTTTTAGTCCTATTTTCCTAATACCCAAGAAAACCAGACAAGAGAAGCTGGCCAAGTTAATCTCTGGTTCTGGGCTGGAAAAGATCCCAGGAAATATAATAGATCAATAGTATTATTCCCTTTTTTAAAAAACAGCAAAACGATTACGTAACCAGCCAAGCTCTCAACATGGAATATATCCGAATCCTCCGTAGAGACTGACTCATAAAACACATATGCAGAATTCAGTGGAATTATTTCATTCACTGAATTTTATGCACAGCACAACACAACTCCAATTGATATCACTGTAACTCCTCCAAATAGGTAAATATTTATTCCTTGGCATCTTGCCTCATCACACAGAAAACTTTGATCAGGCTTCTATGATGGGCTATTAGGATGACATCAGAAAATAGTTAAAGCCTAATTTTGACCCAGAAAAGAACTCCTCAGCCTCAATACAGCAACCACTGGACCAAAAAAAAGATAACAAATAAGACTCCAGACTTCTGCTCCTAGAAAAAAATGAAACAGTTAAATAGGAGGAAACCAATCCAATAAAACTTGGTTTCCATGAATAAAAAAAAGAAAACCCTATTTAACAATACACACTAACTGTTCTTGAAAACAATTTTTGAAAAACAAGTTACTAATCCAATAGCTGGAGAAAAAATAAGGAAACTCAAAGCAAACTATTAGTAAATCAGTTTTAAAAAATACATACCACACAAGTATGACTGAAAGGGAGGCTGTGGGGCTGCTTTATCTAATGCAAAATTGTGATGGACCAAAGCTGCAATAGCAATAATCTGCAAAGAAAAGAGGAAAAAACCCACTTATCAAACCACTACTGTATATTCTGCATTCTCACCAAGACTACCAAGAATATTCAAAGATACACATTTAAATACACATGAAAATTGTGGCTGGGCATGGGGCTCACGCCTGTAATTCTAGCACTCTGAGAGGTTGAGGTGGGTAGATCACTTCAGTTCAGGAGTTCGAGACCAGCCTGGCCAAAATGGTGAAACCCTGTCTCTACCAAAAATACAAAACTTAGCTGGGCATGGTGGCATGCTCCTGTAATCCCAGCTACTTGGGAGGGTGAGGCAGAAGAATCACTTGAACCCAGGAGGTGGAGGTTGCAGTGAACCGAGATCACGCCACTGCACTCCAGCCTGGGTGACAGAGTGAGACTCCATCTCAAAAAATAAGAAAGAAAGACTTTAAACTTTTTATTATAAAAATATGTAAACTCATTAAAAAATAGACAAAATAATAAAATTAACTCCTATATTAGCCATCATCCATTTTCAATTATCAACTCATCTATATAGAACCCTACCTACTTCCTTCCTCTCTATAGATTATTTTGAAGCAAAACCCAAACCTATTATTTTATCTGGGAAGATTTCAGCATCAATCTCTAAAACTGGGTTTATTAATCTTGGAACTATTGACATCTTGGGCCAAATAATTCTTTGTTATGGGGGCTGTCCTGTGGGCTGTAGGATGTCAGCAGCATCCTAAGCATCTCCCTACTAGTTGCCAGTATTACCATTCCCAGAACCCCTGAGTTGTGATAACCAAAAATGTCTCCAGACACTGCCAAATGTCCCCTTAGAGGAAAAATCTCACCCAGCTGAGAACCATCACCACTCTGAAAGATAAAATGTTTGAAAAATATAATCATAATACAATTATCTCACCTAACGCAATTACATTAATAGCAATTTCTTAAAACCATTAATTATCCAGGCAGAATTTAAATTTTCATATTTTCCAATTATCTCAATTTTATTTACCACATAAGGGCCATATTTCGTAAATGGTTGATATATAAAACCACAGGTACAACCCCATCCCATCTGTCATTCCCCTGTAATTTATCTGTTAAAGAAACTAGTTTGTTTGTCCTATAGAGTGCTCCATAGTATGGATTCCACTGCTTGTGTCCCAATAATGTCATTTAACATGTTTTTCCTGTCTCCATACTGCCTATAAATTCAAAGTTACGTCTAAAAGCTTGATCAAAATCAGGTTCAATTTTTGGGCAAGAATACTTCAGAGGTGCTGATTACTTCTGTCAAAAGGCACAGGAACATAATATCTGCTCAGCTCTACCTTAATGATATTAGTACCCGCTGGTGATCCCTTCCTAGATCCATTATTTCCCTGGCAATTACAAAGTAGTACTATTCCATTTTTCCTTCATTTATTAGCTGGAAACCTTCTATGAAGAGAAACTTCCCCTCATCAATTATTTGCTTGCCTGAGGTATGTGTTCAGAAAAGCAAAAGAAAAAAAAATGCTTAATTCAATCCCTTTACCAGTTTTCAAAATAATGAGTTGGTTCCCTGGCTTCCTTCACAAGTGACCAATGCGGTGTCATTGCTGACAATATCATTATGAACTCATGGAGCTGATGTGTTTCAATCTGTTACACGTACTCTTACTCTCACAGTGCCCCATCTTTGGTCAGTAGAAGACTCTTCAAGTTGATTACTGAGTCCAAGTTGAATTACTGAGTACTTTCAACACATCTTCAGTAGATTTTACTACTGTCCTTGCTCTCTGGTATAATAAGATGTTCCAGATATTTCCTTCCGTGAATCAGCCATTACTTCACAGACCTCAGTTTCCGTTTATTAGAAAATGGGTCCAGGCACACTGGCTCACGCCTATAACCTCAGCCCTTTGGGAGACTAAGGAGGGCAGATCACGTAAGGTCAGAAGTTCAAGACCAGCCTGGCCAACATGGTAAAAGCCCATCTCTACTAAAAATACAAAAAAATTAACCGGGCATGGTGATGCACACAACTGTAATCCCAGCTACTCAGGAGACTGAGGCAGAACAATCACTTGAACCTGGAAGGCAGAGGTTGCAGTGAGCCAAGATCATGCCACTGCACTCCACTCCAACCTGGGCAACAGAGCAAGACTCTGTCTCAAAAAAAAAAAAAAAAATCGAATGTGGAAACCTCATTCTGGACACTAGAGGTGAATACTATTTTTAAACTAACTACTAATTAAACTTCTCCCAAACACTTAACTATGCACTATGGCCATCTACTGTATTAACTATTATTAAAAGATCAGATGTTAAGAAAAAAAGTCAGATGTCAAAAAAAAGATCAGGCCGGGTAGAGTGTTTCATGCCTATAATCCCAGCACTTTGGGAGGCTACGGTGGGTGGATCACTTGAGGTCAGAAGTTCGAGACCAGCCTAGGCAATATGATGAAACCCCGTCTCTATTAAAAATGCAAAAATTGACTGGGTGTGGTAGCCTGCACCTGTAATCCCAGCTACTCAGGAGGCTGAGGCAGGAGAATCACTTGAACCTGGGAGGCAGAGGCCACAGTGAGCTTAGACTGCGCCACTGGACTCCAACCTGGGCAACAGAGTGAGACTCTGTCTTTCAAAAAAAAAAAAAAAAAAAAAAAAGGTGGAAAAAAGAAGATGGCGTGGTAGGAGCAACTCAGGATTGCAGCTCTCAGTAAAGATGCAGAGGGTGAGTGCAAGCCACATTTCCAGACAGACCTTTGTTGCCCACAGAACGGGGAAATTCCCAGGTATAGGAGAGAAACGGGACGCCAGTGCAGCTGTTTCGGCTGGTGCGGCCATTTCAGCTGGCACCACAGCGCAGCGGCACTCCGCACAAAACACACTGGTCAGGGTGCCCTGTTAAACCAGCAATCTGAGATTTGCATATCCATCTGATTAAACAGGACTTGGAGCGTGAGCCAGACCAGGAGATTACCGGGAAGCGACGTTTGAGCAGGCGCAGTGGGTCGCTGCATGGGAAATCACACAGATCCTGGTGCCCTATCAGCAGGCGACTGAAACACCGGGAAGAGAGTCAGCTCTTCAACGTTTTTGAAAAAAAAAAAAGGGCTCTGAGGCAGGGAGCCAGGTGATCAGGCTCAGCAGGTCCCACCCCCACAGGGACAAACAAAACGGCAACTTGAAACGCTCAGGGTTGAGAGTTTCACTGCGGGCACAGCTGAATCCAGGACAGTGCAGCTTGGTGGGGGAGGGGCGTCCCCCATTACCGAAGCATTCCGCCCCTACTGAGGTACACTCTCATTGCTGACGCAGCCTGCCGTTGCCGAGGCAACCCGCCATAACAGAGAGACCCCACCAACAGGGCAGAGCCCATGACAGCAGGGCGGAGCCCACGGCAGCAGGGCGAACCGCACGGGAGCAGGGTAGAGCCTTGGCAGGCAAATAGTGACTAGACTGCCTCCTAGCTGGGCAGGACAGTGCAACGGATACTCATAAAGGAAGCCCTAACTCCCTGAGACAGAGCATCTGAGGAAAAAAAGGGTTTTATGAGTTCTGCTGCAGCAGACTTAAACGTACCTGCCTAATAGCCCTGAATGATCAACAGAGCTCACAGCTCAGCACTTGAGCTCCCATAAAGTACAGACTGCCTCCTCAAGCAGCTCCCTGACCTCTGTATATCCAAAGAGTCACCTCAAAAAGGACTGATCAGACTGACATTTGGCGGGCATCATTCTGGGACAAAGATAGCAGAAGAAGAAACTGGTAGCATCCCTCACAGTTCTGCAGCTGCTACAGGTGTACCCCAGACAGCAGGGCCTGGACTGGACCTCAGCAGTCATACAGCAGAGGGGCTAGACTGTTAGAAGAAAAACTAAGTAACAGAAATACTTCATCGTCAACAATCTGGGCGTCCACTCAGAGACCCAATCGAAAAGTCAGCAACTACTCAGAGGACAGGTAGATAAACCCACAAAGATGGGAAGAAACCCGCGCAAAAAGGAGGAAAACACCCAAAACCAAAACACCTCGCCTCCTACAAAGGACCAAAACTCCTCACCAGCAAGGGAACAAAGCTGGACGGAGAATGAGTGTGATGAAATAATCAAATCAGACTTCAGAAGGTGGGTAATGAGAAACTCCCATGAGCTAAAAGAACATGTTCTAAATCAATGCAAAGAAACTAAGAACCTTGAAAAAAGATTTGAAAAAAGATTTGAGGAAATGATAACAAGAATGAACAACATAGAGAGGAATTTGAATGAATTGAAGGAGCTGAAAAACACGACATGAGAACTTTACGAAGCATGCACAAGTTTCAACAGCCGAACTGACCAAGCAGAAGAAAGAATATCAGAAGTCGAAGATCAACTCAATGAAATAAAATGAGAAACCAAGACTAGAGAAAAAAGCGCAAAAAGGAATGAACAAAGTCTGCAAGAAATGTGGGACTATGTGAAGAGACCTAACCTACGTTTGATAGGTGTACCAGAATGTGACGAAGAGAATGAATCCAAGCTGGAAAATACTCTTCGGGATATTATCCAGGAAAATTTCCCCAACCTAGCAAGGCAGGCCAATATTCAAGCCCACTAAATACAGAGAACACCACAAAGATATTCCGCAAGAAGAGCAACCCCAAGGCACATAATCGTCAGATTCAACAAGGTTGAAATGAAGGAGAAAATACTAAGGGCAGCCAGAGAGAAAGGTCGGGTCACCCACAAAGGGAAGCCCATCAGACTCACAGCAGATCTCTCGGCAGAAACTCTACAAGCAAGAAGAGAGTGGGGGCCAATATTCAACATCCTTAAAGAAAAGATCTTTCAACCCAGAATTACATATCCAGCCAAACTGAGCTTCAGAAGTGAAGGAAAAATAAAATCCTTTGCCAACAAGCAAGTACTCAGAGATTTTGTCACCACCAGGCCTGCTTTACAAGAGCTCCTGAAAGAGGCACTACACATAGAAAAGAACAACCAGTACCAGCCATTCCAAAAACACACTAACTGCTAAAGAGCATCA